TAATAGAACTAGTTTCAAGATTGACAAAATAAATTACTTAAAAGTAAGTTTGATTTATTTATAAGCATGGTTCAACATGCATGTTTCTTTGGAAGAAAAAAGAAAGTGAAAATGCTTGCCCATCAAAACGGCAATAAGATTTTTTTAATGGATCTTGTTATATGTATATCAAGATTTACATAATGTATTATATAATATCACACGATACTCTAATATTTGCCAGTTTAAAACACAATCTACTTTTTCAACCAATTTTTTCATTCCACGTCATTTTCGGTAATCGCTTATGTACAAGTAGCAAAATCCTATTTTTATTTAGGAAATTAATCGAGTTTATGAGAGGCATTTTCGACTTTTGTAATGCAAAATTGTCCCTCCTTAAATATGGAATTTTTTGTCCTTTTGCATTTTCAACTTTCAACATAAAACGAAAAAATGTAAAAAATTAAATTATTCGACTTATGAGATTTATTTAGTGAATTTTTAAAAAATTAAAGTTGACCCAACTCAATTAAGAGTTTCAGTTCGACTTAATTTAACACCATTACATTACACATTATGTATGTGAATTGTAGAAACATTCTAAAAGTAAGATTGAAATGAATAAATGATTAGAGAACAAGTTGAACTAGCCGTCAACAAATTTAAAATGAGTTACAATTCCTTTTTAGAACATCAAAATATAGAATTCTTGATTTGCAATTATCGATAAAAATATATATATTTCTTTTAAACAAGTGGATCGTAAAAGAAAGTTTCTTCGTGAAATTCATGCTTTATTAATTTAGTATATTGGTTTGAATTGTGACCGAAAAGTTTAGGATGCGTTTGATTTGCTGTTTTCAAGACGTTTTCAATTTTGTAAAATACTAAAAGCGTTTTTGATCTGGTATTTTTTAAAATGGCTAATTGCAACAGCAGTATCAAACATTTCATTTAGTAGCAGACTTTGCCCAAACCTTTAATTTGTGTCACCCACGGTATTAAACATTTCATTTGTCCCACACACTGTACCAAACCTTTCAAAAATGTCGCAGCTAAATTACAAATGGATGGTTTCTGTTAGTTTGACCGTTAGTTGACCAAATAATTGATTTTGACAATAATTTTGACTAATTTTAAAATGTTAAAATGGTAATTTCACATTTTTTAATAATAAAATAACCAAAATCAAATAATTAAAATTAAAAATTCATTCCACCTTCTTCTCCTCCACCCACTCTTCCACCGCCAGTTTTGGGGAGTATTTCGACCCTAAAACATTTAAATCTTTCGTACAACACGTTTTCACTAGGTCGGATCCTCTCGAAGCTTGGAAATCTCAAGAATCTTCAGGTACTATGGTTGATGCAGACTAATCTGGTGGGTGGAATCCCATAGTCACTGGGTTTACTCCGAAAGCTCACCGACTTGGATGTGGCTCTCAATGCCTTAACAGGTGGATTCCCAGTTCACTAATCAGGTGGGTGGAATCCCAGTTGCCACTTGGGTCACTCAACCTGTATGAGAACAAATTCCAAGGTGAATTACCAGAAAGCATTGCCAATTCGTCTAATTTTTGAGTTAAGCTTTGCCACTTAGAACTAGTTAACTGGTAAATTACCCCCAAATCTTGGAAAAAAACTCACATTTACGATGGATTGATGTTTCAACGACCGTGTTTTCATGTGAAATGCCTGAGAATTTGTGTTCAAAGGGTGTTCTTGAAGAGATTTTTAATGATTGAAAATTCATTTTTCGGCCAAATTTCGGTAGCTCTAGCAGGATGTCATAGCTTATTGCATGTAAGGTTCAGGTAAAACAGACTTTCCGGCGAAGTTCCTGCTGGTTTTTTGGGTCTTCCTTACGATGGGGGTGGGGTGGGGTAAAATGAGTTTTTAATTTTAATTATTTGATTTTGGTTATTTTATTATTAAAAATGTAAAATAATAATTTTAACATTTTAAAATCAGTCAAAATTACTGTCAAAATCAATTATTTGGTCAGCTAACAATCAAACTAACAGAAATCATTCAATTGGACTTCAACTGCGATATTTTTGAAAGGTTCGGCACTGTGGGTGACACAAATAAAAAGTTTGATACCGTGGGTAACACAAATGAATGTTTTGGACAAGGTCTGCTACTAAATGAAATGTTTGGTACCGCTACTGCAATTATTCCTTTTAAAAATGCATTTTCGAAAATAAGGATAAATTTACAACATAAAACTCAAAACAAACTTTTGATATTTTAAATATTTTTAGTGAAAATTCTGAAAACGGTCAAAATTTGGAAAACAAGCCATTAAATAAAGATTTATTTAAATAAATTTTTTAAATTAAAAATATTTTAAAAAAATAGAAATATAAAATTCTAACAGATGAAATTTTAAAAAATTAAAATTCAAAAAATAAAATTGATAATTTCTAAAAAAATTAAAAATAAAATTCTGAAAAATCTAGAAAAATAAAAATTATAAAAAATAAAACTAGTTCTAACTAATGATTATTTACATAAATTTTTTTAAAAAATATTTAAATGAACACATACAAAAATATTCTAAGTTCACGCCAATAGTTTTTATTTTTATTTCTTATATTTTAAAACAAATTTATTATTATTATTTAAATTTTTTAGTGAGAAACAATATTATAAGATTCATATTAACATAAAATTGTTCTATTTCTACTAGATAATCAAATTTAATGAAATAAAATGTCATAATTTTTTTTATTTTAAAATTTAAACCAAACGTGTTTTCTAGTTTTTAGTTTTGAGAAATAATTTTTCAAAATGACAAACTAAATGCGTTTTTAGAAATTTTAAAACAGACACTCAAAACAATAAAACAAAAAAATGAATTCAAAACTCAAAAAACTAAAACACAAACCAAACTGACCCTTATTATTTAAACAAAGTTATTAATTTATTGAATTCATTTATTATACCATCTAAAAGAAATACACCATTAATATTTAGTACTACATTAATTATAGTAAAATAAAGCTATAGTAAAATAAGTAACTTTTAAATACTTTTTATTTTCAAACACATTCAAACGACTTAATCTTTCCTATTTTTAAAGTTTAAAAGAGTTATTAATTTGAGACATAACTCATAACTCTTTGTTACTGTTAAAATAAATAAATTAAAATTATTTATTTCAAAAAAATTAAACATAATTATTTATATACAACTAAATTTTTTAAGCCAAGCCAAATATGTAATGTATGACTAAACTTGAAAATAAAAAATAAAAAAGAGTAACAGATACTTTTATGTAACTTATCACTTTGAAACATATTTGCATAATTAGTTATTTTTATTTTAATTACAAAATTTTACTTAAAAAAATTACTCTTCACTTATTTATTGTAAAAAAAAGTATGATATTTCTAGTTTCAATATTTACAAAATAACTTATTTTGAAAACCAATCACTCACTCCAAAAGTATGTTCAATGCTTAAATGGATTGCCAAGTAAAATTTATAACACAAGTAAAATTGATAATTTTTCTTTTTCAAAAAAAATATTCTCTAGTGTATTCAGAAATCTCACGAGAACTTGATTAAGTTGATGTGACGAAGGGAAAACGGATTTTTTAGTTTATCCAAATATAAATAAAATTTTAATGTTGACCTCGAAATTCGACGGCGTCTTGTGGCCAACAAATTCAGGCTCCTTTTCGTCCATGTGCATGTTATTCGCACACTTGGACAACCACAATAGATTGCTGGTGATCGTGGTTGCGACGATCACTTCACGCTCATGTCAAATGATGAAGAAAATATATTTCAGCGTAGCAAAGATACAATGGATAAGAATATGAGTGCCGAATTTGAAGTGACAACGTCGAATATTGCAATTTATGACTATAATACTCAAAATTGCAATACTGTTGGAAGCACCGAGTGTGAAGTTTTATACCAAGAGAAAATAGGTGATATCTATTGGATGTTTGGCAAATTGCCTCATCCCAAAGGCACGTCAATCAATCTCGAAACGCGTCAATTCCAACCATCATAATTCATAGGCTAGTCTCATTTTAAATGGGCTGAAAAGCAGCCACCATATACCATAGGCCTGCAATTTGAAAAGTAATAAAAAAAGTTCATCGATCACATCTACTGTAGGACTACCAAATTTGTTAGACGTATTGAGCATCTTTGTGAGAAACCTTTTTTGGCCGATGCCCCTCATAGTAGAGGCCAATCACTTTGAATACAGTGCTTCAAGAGGTAATGCCTTGCCTCGAAAGTGCCACTTAGGTTAAAGTGTTGTCACTTCGGATGAGGTGTCCCAATCACCTTATCCAACTACTTAATCTCTTCAATGAGAGCGTGGAAGGGACGAGGCGAGGTGAGGCGAGGTGTGGGCCTGGGGTGACTTTTGCTTCAACCTGCCATGTAGAACAAGGCATAATATTTAGTTAAGTGTATGTTTGGTTAAATTTTCTTTAAGCTGGTCAAATGTAATTTTTTTATTTACATATTTCGTATTTTCATTTCCAAACATTTTGGTTAAGTTACTTTCTTTCAGGCCACTTTTAAGCAAAAAAGATTATTTTCGACTTAGATTGATAAAAAAATTACTTATTTAAAACTTGCTTATTTATTAATGTTATAAGTACACGTTTTAAGCTAAGACAAACATGGTCTTAAGAACGTGGAAATTAGTTAATGGAAAGAAGCAAGAGTCTCGCACCAGATAGCGATCTTACGGCGAAATTTCATGCAAAGCCCTCCTTCTCCGCCATCCTAGATCACTATTTGAGTCTTTCTCACATAAAGACCCATCTCTCTCTCTCTCCATCACGCATAAACAAACATGTATCAATAGTCTATATGCATACATACATGCACACAAACATTTATCAACCACTGTCAACAGATCCCACCTGATTTCTTACTACTTTTTACCCTGTTTCCTTTGTGTCACACAATTTCGAATCTGCATAATTTTCAGTGCAATTAAGAGAAAAATCTTTTGAAAAAGAGTGATTTGGGAGAAAAGAAGATATGGGTACTGACCAGTTGTTGAAAAGAAGTTGTATTAAGAAGCGTCAGAAGAGAATTTCTGTAACGTATCCATTTTATTATCTGCTTCGAGAGCAAAGATTGGCGTGTCTTTTTGTTGGAATTGCGATATCGTGTATGGTTTTCACTATCATTCCCTCTGTTTCGCCGTCGCGTTATGAGTGGATCGCTGAATCCAATGAGCCCATTCAATTGCCCCGAAGAATTACGTATGAGTTACGCGATGGAATTGGGCACCACAGTGCAGGTATTAGAAATAAAAATCGTGGGTTAATTTTAGTTTTTAGTGTATAGTTTCATTATTTTTTTCTTCAAGACTAGATTTCATTTTGATAATTGGTTTTGTCATGTAGAGTTTATTTTATGGGTAGTAGATGCAGGTAAAGGTTAATAATATGTTGTTGTATGAAGCATTTGATCTTTCATGTGGGAAATGGGAATATGAAAAACTTTGCACTATTTGGTGAAATGTGTTACCAATTAGTGCAGGTATTAGCAGCCAAAATCATGGTTAATTTTAGTTTGATGTAGTGTTCAATTATTTTTTTCTTAGAAATTAGGTTGTGTAGAAGGATGTTGTGAGAGGGAAGCAACATGTAGAGACTATTTTTTATTTCAATTATGGTTATTGGGTAGTGATGCAGAAAAGGTTCAATAATTTTGTTGTTGTACGAAGGATTTGATCTTTCATGTCGGAATATGAAAAATATATATTACACTATTTAGAGAAATGTTTGAGTTTAATTGTACAAGTTCCAAGAAAATTCTCAGCAATTCTGTTCTGAAGTTCTTTCTTATGTAAGAAATCAGTTGGTTGTCTTTGTAAGTGAATTCATTTCTTAGGTCATAAATCTAATTGAAGAAATTGAGATAGACATGACCTTAATTGTTGCTGTTAGGCTGTATCATATCACGATCTAAATGCTGTCAAAATATATAGAGGAAGTTCTGACATTTTTTGAGTGAAGTGTCATATAGTGGACAATCATGTTCGGTGTACATCATCTCTTGGATTATTCCTTACACTCTGCCACATGGAATAATTTAGTTGGATAGTTTTAAGAAAAAGTTTTTTCAGCCGATCTTTTTTTGACAACAAAGCAAATGTCATCCATAGTGTAAGGAGGGAGTGTACAAACAGCATAATCCTATAACGAATGTTCGCCATCTCAGTTTTGCTTTCAGCAAACTGGTTTTGCGAGTCAAAGCTTGTGGTTTTTCAATGGATACCAATTTCTTGGCAAAATTCCGATAAATTAATGAGATAGAATTAGAGGCATGAAATGTTTGTGCACCTTTTTGCAGTGTCTTTAACTGTTTTCTCATTGTTCTGTAACCATGTAAGACATTACAATGTTTATGTATTATCAATACGCTGAAATTTTTAAGAAGATATTTTCTGGTTGGAAATTAATTAGACCAAAATGGAAAATGGAGTTAGGACCCAAGAGCGCAGGTGTGCCTTTTCATGTGCATGGCCATTTCACTGGTTTAGATGTGATGCATCCATGGTAGGCGAGAAATGGCATGAAATTTTGATATTGCACTAGTATTTTGACAGAAACTTGTTGGTGATGCAGGTGGAAAAATTCCTTTGGGGTTGAAAAGTAAAAGTTTAAGGATTTTGGTTACTGGTGGAGCTGGTTTTGTGGGGAGCCATTTGGTGGATCGTTTGATAGCACGTGGCGACAGTGTGATTGTGGTTGATAATTTTTTCACAGGACGTAAGGAAAATCTTTTATCCCACTTAAACAACCCCAAGTTTGAGCTCATTCGACATGATGTAGTCGAGCCCATTCTGCTAGAGGTGGACCAAATCTACCATTTGGCTTGCCCCGCATCTCCAGTTCATTACAAGTACAACCCTGTGAAGACAATTATATCCTTTTAAATCTTCTATTCTAAGTTAACTAACTTCTGGATTTTAATCTTTAATTGTACTTTCAATTTGAAAGGGAATGTATCAGGTTCCAGTTCCACAAGTTAATCTTCTGTAGAACAGCTACAGTGTCCCTCAAAAATCTCAAAAAGACAAGTTCTGTAAATCCTCAATTGGGAAATAAAATGTTCTTTCTAAATGCAGTTGTGTTCATTTCCCTGAAATTTGTAAATACTCGTAGATCCCCTTAGAGTTTACAATCTTCAGATTTAGACAGCATTGATTTTATTACTGTCCAAGAGTACTTCACAATATTGTCTACATGTTAATTCTAGAATTCGGCGTGGAAACAAGTTAGACTAGTTGACAACTCCATTCCTTTGTGCGTCACTGTGTATGCTTACATTAGTATGGAAAATTGATGAGAATTATGCTGGTCTGTATTCAATTTTGGTGTTCTGGGAAGATTCCTTAATTTTATTTTCTAGAAATCACAAGACCAATGTGATGGGAACACTGAACATGTTGGGGCTAGCAAAGCGGGTCGGCGCCCGGTTTCTGCTTACAAGCACCAGTGAGGTGTATGGTGATCCTTTGCAGCATCCACAGGCCGAGACTTACTGGGGCAATGTCAATCCAATCGGTGAGACAGCTAAGATGACTTATTACTTTTAGGCCATGTGTTGTGTTTATTCCAATGGAGATATGTTTAAAAGGAACTTTATCTGGTTTAGTTTATTAAATGAGAAAATTTCATCATCATTTGATACTAGTTTAGGAACTAGAAGCTTGTTTTTGTAGTCTATTTGTATATCTTGTCTCTGTGGCTGCATTTAATAGTGTTCACTCAGAGCATAGTTGATTGTTTATTTGTCACATAAAGGTTTATCTAGTCACTCACTTCTAGAACGAATAATTTGGAGAACTGAGAAGTCGATATTTACCTATCAAATTTGTCATCCAATTGGAAGTACTATTCCACCTCCATTAGTTTTGAATTGGGAGCAGGTGTTCGAAGTTGTTATGATGAGGGCAAGCGTACAGCTGAGACATTGACCATGGATTACCACAGGGGACTTAACCTCGAGGTCCATTGTCCATAAAATTTTCCATCCGACAGTATGTGCATTATTAGCTACACAAATATAATTTAATTGTTTTTCAGGTGAGAATTGCTAGAATTTTCAACACTTATGGTCCACGCATGTGCATCGATGATGGACGTGTTGTCAGCAATTTTGTTGCCCAGGTTTGTTCAAATACTGCTAGCTCATCCTTCTTTTGAATCTCCTTTTAGTGCATGTTTGATGTGCGTAATAGACAATATAATAAAAACAGGATTTTAGCTTCTTTTTTCCCTTGAGAATGTTCGATACTTCCAAATCCTTACCAAACAGCCATTAATGTTGTTTTCCTTGAGAAGTGATTACGAGGACCGGTAATTGGAATTAATTCATGGCTAGTTATTTCTAACTGCTCCCTACTCATGTCGCAAAGTGTTTTGTGCAGGCCTTGAGAAAAGAACCTTTGACAGTTTATGGGGATGGAAAGCAAACTAGGAGCTTCCAATATGTTTCTGATTTGGTAAGTTGTCTATGTTCCTGCGATCTTTTTGATTGAGGCGTTCATTTTTTCTGCAGTCTCATTGTAAGAGCTATGGTCCCAATTACATTCTTCCATTATGTTATCTCTGATGATGAGTCCGTTAGATTATTACCGGCAAGATATGGCAAGTTTTGAACACTGAAAGGCATCACATTGTAAGAATGGAAGTCTCGAAACATCGTCCAATCATGATCAGTGAGAGACACTAATTGAATGTTATAGGGTGTATCAATATTAATATATCATTCCAAATAGTATCTAAACACTGACAGTTCATCAATGAGGGGAAAACACAATGACCACTTATATACACAATCCACCAAACTCGATTCAAAACCACTCTTAATTAGTTTCATTTGTTCTTCTCAAAGAATGAAACAATTTGTCCCTTGATCTTTCGTCTCCATCTGGTGAGAGCTTCTGATGTCTGAGAAATCAGTCTTCGCACGTCTCAATTTTTTATCCACTGAAATTATGGTGGAAAACTGAACTACTTAAAAATTTATTTTTACATTGTTATGACCAGGTGGGAGGTTTGATGCGATTGATGGAAGGAGATCATGTCGGTCCTTTCAATCTCGGTAACCCTGGTGAATTTACAATGCTTGAACTTGCTCAGGTTGATTTATGCTCTAGAGTTCACTTGCATCATATTCATATATTCAAGATTTCATGTTAAGCGATGAAATATAACAACTGCAGTCAGCAGTCTATTCCAGCTAACACAAGTCATTAAATTGCAAGAATTGGCTAATTAGAAGATGATATACATGCACAATCTTTGGCACGCCTCATGTTTATAATTGTACAATATAGTGATGGATTTGTCAAAAATCCAACTAGAAAATTATTATTTCTAAAAAACTTCAATGTGGGTAGTTGATTTAGGACGTCCATGCACGTTCGAAGTTTTGAATCTTTTATTGTTGGAATGTGTACTAGTCGGGGACTAATTGATTCGCTCTGGTTTATAGGTTGTGCAAGAGATAATCGATAGGAATGCTAAGATCGAGTTTAGGCCAAACACTGAGGATGACCCCCACAAGAGGAAGCCTGACATTTCAAAAGCCAAAAAACTTCTTGGGTGGCAGCCGACTGTGTCCTTAAGGGAAGGACTTCCCCTCATGGTAACTGACTTCCGGCAACGCATATTTGGTGACGAGAAGGATAATACCGGAGCCCTCCCCATTTAATGCATCATTTTACACATGTGCAAGGCCTATTGGAACATGGGAGAGGAATATCAAATAGATTACAGTAAAAGAACAGAAGAAAAGAATGTTTTGATAGCTTACCTTTCATTATACAGTACTTGAGTTCATTAAATATCTAATTTTGGGGTCGTATCAACATTGTGGTGCTTCCATCATATGCCTCTCTTTCTTAATTATGCTCAATCGTATCCAATCCAGTATTCTGAACGTGTATCTTTCTAGGATGTTCTCGACATCTCAATTGCTGATTTAAGATGGGAGTTGGAAGTACACAAGAAATCTTTTTTCAAATATATTCTCCTCAATTCTTGTACTCCTTGACGTAGAAGTCAATGACATGCCTCTGTTTGGAGGGGATTAAAATCAAATTTTTAGCAGATTTTGATAGAAATTGATGAAATGTGTAATTGAAAATTCATGGAACACATAAAATATGTGGTTTGTTGATTTTGACTGAAATTAAAATCTACCAAAACGGGGGCATATGCTTGATACATTGGATTCGATAACACAAGCCAACAAAAACTGAAAATTTTGAAATTTTGTCATATATATTTATTTCTTAATCCCGTTTGGTCTCACATGCCAAACATGTCTCAATTATACTCATAAGAAAATTCGCAGTAGAGATCCCATACTTTTCATAACTTTGTTGTTACATCCCAAACATTCTAATCTTAGCATCTACATTACCTTTTAATAAATTCTCAAAAGAACTCTAGACGACTTTTGTCCAATGCACCAAACGTGTCTTCATATTTTTGTCATGTTGATCTTTCCTATCTGAATATTTCCCACGTTGAATTATTTCAACGGAGATTGGATTGCCCCATTTTGTGCATAAATTAAAAATAAAGAAGAAAATTACCTACAAACATATTTTGTCCTGTTTTGACCCGCTTGTCTAAAAATTCGAAATATTTGTGGTATGTGTCATACATTGGACATGACTAATATTGTCACATTTAGCAGGTCCAACTTGAAGGTACATTTTGAAAAGAAAAAATCATTAAAAAGTCAATAAAAATAACTAACTTGAAGGTGCATTTAGAAAAAAAAATTGTTTCACTTATGCAAACTGTAACTAAATTCTAAATTATTTTGTCTTCTTCTTCATCTCATCTTATTCCTCATCCCTACACAACCAGTCTAGTTCAGTGTCCCATCCTTCCCTCTCCCTCGCATCTCCCCTAGTCTCGTGTTCCTCTTTCCTTCCTCCACTATATTCCGAATGGATATCAAAACTTGTTTTGAGTACCACCACGGTAGAATGAGCCAAAAATCATGTACAACTCTGTGTACAGGAAACGATATGATGATTGGCAGCTGGACACACTACGATACCTAAGTCAGATTTCGAAAGAAAGAAAATGAAATTGAAAGAATTCTTTATTAAGGAATTCACTTTCCTTTCTATACCTTCAAGCTTGGGAAAAAAATCATAAATTAGGTGTATCGTTTACACCAATTCACAAATCAAGTTTATAGTTTGAAAATTAAAAATTCAAGTATATATATTATTAATTAAATATAATAAAGTCACAGTTATACAATTAATGATCACAGATACATAATTATAAGTCACAATTTATTTATTGGTCACAATTTATTTGTCGGTCACAAATTTTTAAATTGGTTGGTCACATATTACTAAATTTTTAGGTTACAGTTGAGCAACTGGACACATATTACTAAATATTTGGTCACATACCATCAAAAAGTAATTAGTCACAATTTATTTGTCGGTCACAGATTTTTAAATTAGTTGGTCACATATTATTAAATTTTTAGATCACAGTTGAATAAATGGTCACAGATTACCAAATATTTGGTTACATACCATCAAATAGTAGGTCACATAATCAAGTAATTGGTCACATACACCAAATAGTGGTCACACACCACACCACCGTCACCAACATTACGGCGGTTCTTACCGGCGAAGCTGCGGTGGCGTCTGCAATCGGAACATCTCTGCATTTACCACTACAACCAGCATCACCACCACCACAACACACACCCACCACCAGAAATCGCGGCTCCGTCACCACTAGCCGCTCTAAAGATCTTTGAGCAACACCGCAGCACACCCACCCACCACCAGAAATCGCAGCTCTGTCGTCGCATATCAGCTAAAATGGGGTGTAATCAACAACATCTGTGCGTCATCGTAGCGGATCTGCAGCGGTGGTGTCTCGCCAACGAAGCTGCGGTGACGGCTGCAATCGGACCAACGACAGAGAGCATGGAGAAAGGGATATGAGAGATGGGAGGGGAGGAGAGGAGAGGGGAGGAGGCGCGCGAGACAGAGATGCGAGGAAGTTGAGAGTGAGAGATAAATTAGGATTAGAGTTTTAATATATAGTACCTGATTTTTGAATAATAAAATTTGGTCCCTGATTTTTGCATTCCAAACTTCAAACACCTGGAACTTTGTAATTTTCCCTTTAAGCATGATATATAGAAAGAATTAGGCCTTCTGGTGGGCAAGATAGACTTGGTTGTGGCCACGTTTCCTTGGTGGGTGAGAAGGATATCCAGGGTAGCAAGGGTGGTAACTAGAGTCGTGGAGGGCAAATATCACAAAATTTTAATTGTAGGAACAAAACTGGGAATTATAAGAATTTTTTTCTGAAAATCTTGTGCAAAATTTTGAAAAATTTTAAAATTCAAATTTAATGTGGGGACAGCTGACTCCATTGTCGCATCGTAAATCCACCACCAAGAGGCATGATAGTAGACAAAAATTTTGATTGAAAATATATTATAATATGTGAGTCTTATAAAATGTGTGAATAGAAATTAAATTTGACCGACTGTATATAAATTAAATAAGCGTCAAGCCAGAGCTAAATGCTAAGATAATTATACTTGTGCAAAATTGAAGCTGCAATTCCAACTTTTTTGCTATTTATATTCAACTGTTTAATTCGTGTCATCCATGATTTCAAACATTTCATTTCATTATGGTAGAATGACAAGTGATTGAATTTCGTCCAGTTTCCATTTAGTTGACTAAAAGTCAATAATTTGATCATATCTTGACTAATTTTAAAATGGTAAAATGATAACTTTATCTTTTTCCCTATCCCAGCTCAAAACCTTATTTGAGAAAACCCATCGACCGACCGACCGTCATCGATTGTCAT